TAGGTTGAAGTGTTCTCCTACAGGTTTTTGTATATTGCCATTCCTGATATCTGACTTGTGTCCATTTATCCTCTTGCGTAGTGACTGTCCAGTTTGGCCAATGTACATAGCAGAGGGGCATAGCTGGAGAAGATAATTTAGGCACTCCTATTTACCATCTAAAATAATACAAGAGCAAAAAATTCATGAATTGAAACTTCTCCTATGGGCTGATTATCCTATAATTCTCCTCTTGAAGGTTTCTTGCATGTTCCTTTGAAGCATCTGATATTGGCCACTTTGTGAGACAGGATATGGAACTACATGGACTGTCAGTGTGATCCATTTTGGCCATTTCTATGTTCCAATGACCACACTGCCTCTTTGCTGCTCGTGTTCAGGAATTAGGTTCCCATAGCTTTATTTAAAAAAAATATTTAGATTTAATATTTTTCACCAGGATGTTTTCTAACTTAAATCATTCATTGCTGCTGTTGTGCACTTTACCTGTTGAGATGGTTCACAGCTCACAAGAATTCTTATTTAAATATATACAAAAGCAAACCAAATCCAGTTTTACTTAATAAATCTAGTTCTCTTCAAATATGTCTGGGGAACTGATTTTGTTCCATGCAAGCTGGAATATTCCTTGCACTTAACGCACTCTCTTAAACATATATCAAAAGAAAATGAGAGTAAAACACTTAGAAAATTGGTCCTACTAAAATAGTTTTGTAACATGATCTTTTCATACAAGCCTTTCAAACACTTCCCACAGTTATATGCATCCACTCAAGTGTTAGAAACAAAACTCTATATAGAGTAATGGAAAGGCTGGTGCCAAGTTAGAAAGATAAGTATCATGGAGAGCTTTTGTTTAATCTAACACAGCTGCTGTCAGTTTCTAGTAAACTACATCAGTGCTGGCTCATTGTGTACGTGCACGCGCACCAGGCAAGTAGATCAAAATGTAACAGAAAAGGGGATTATTTAGAGTTGTCTGTTAGGGAAATAGCTGAATAAAACTGCTAAAAAAATGCTTCCAAGAATAATGTTGGGTGTACAAAAACGAATGATGTACACCTCTACCCCGATATAATGCGACCCCGATATAACACGAATTCGGATACAACGCGGTAAAGCAGCACTCCGGGGGGGGTTGCGCACTCCGGCAGATCAAAGCAAGTTCGATATAACGCGGTTTCACCTATAACGCGGTAAGATTTTTTGGCTCCCGAGGACAGTGTTATATCGGGGTAGAGATTCATTTACGATCTACAGTGATCCTTAGCTTAGCAACAGTTAGCTTTCCTATCAAAATGGAGGAGAATGGTAACCTTCAGAATAGGACCTGCCATTCATTTGTTCTGTACTAAATCATAATCTTGAAATCTACAACAGTCCTTTTAAAATAAGGCAATCATTTAGGTTGTGAAATGTTAGTTTGTGGCACAGCTTTCAGTTAAAATCCAAATGATTTCCATATTCATTTTTTTCCAGATGTTTTTCACAACATTCATATGCGGGGCAACACATCAAAGGCATTACTTAAAGGTTTCTGTTGAAAGTCCTGTTTAAAATAATTGTCTGAGAAAACTCAAACTAAAATGTTGTTGTTTTTTTAAATAGCTAAAATATAACTCTGTTTAGAAGTTTGAAAAAGGCTTCTCGCCAACCCTCTGAGTAAGAGGAATCAGCAGCATTTGTAAGTGAATCCAGGGTCCCATACTGTCCTCTTGAATGCATAATAACTGTTGCTAAGATTTTAAAAAATGGCTAATGATTCTGGGTGCCTCAGGTTTGGGCACATATCTTGACTATGAATACCTTAAAGGTGTATGATTTTCAGAAAGTTCTGAGCAACCACATTGTGAAAATCAGGCCACTTCAAGGTTGGGCACACTCTATTTTGGGCACCTCAATTTTTTGGGTGCCCAATTTACCAGTCATTTTTGCAATGATGGTCTTTAGTACCACTGTTGTAAGCTATACTGTGCTGGGCCATTTACTGTGGAATGGAGTGTTTTTTGTTTATAAGGGATGTATATTATATATTATTTTTCAGAAATGCAACCTTTCCCTCAACTTTTAAACAAAAATAATCTAGTACTCGATTCTACAAACACTTCCTACAAAAGCTTCAATGGCAGTAAACACTACGTCTGGTGGTGTTTGGAGGATTGGGCCCTGTTTGGAACATTTACATGATTTGGGCCTGTCACAGAGTAGCTGGTCCCTGTGAATAGACCAGGCCCAGCTCCTCTGTTAGAGTAGGTGAGCCCAAGTAAGCTAATTAAGTGGGGCAGGGCTATAAAGACATGTCAGAGGGCAGGAAGAGGAAGAGTGATT